TCATTTAAATGGCAAATGTAATTCTACCTATCAAACTTCTTAGAAGTAGATAAAACATTTTGCTCTATTTAAGGCGATCGCAAACAGAAAATATTAAAATGTTTTTCTGGAAGATTCTGAAAGTTTCCCAATTAATCAATTCAATGTTTACTAAGTTCCAAATATCTACATTTTAATTGCAGAGATTCATCTTCACAGAAACTCCTGTGGATTTGTTATTCTAGAACTGCCATTCCTGAGGCTGAAAAAGCAATAGAAACAAAATAAACAGAAAAGAAAATAATTAAGATATATAAATGCCCTGAGGTGTTTTTTTTTTTTTTGAGTTGAGTGTGTTTGTAACCTTCTAGCTTTGCTTCTCAGACAAGAGTTATGAAAATATAGTTATGCAAGACTTTTAAATACGGTTAAGAACTTCATCTAAGTTTTGAAGGTCCAAGGTAGTCATACAGAAGATTAATTTTTCCTGGTCCAATAAAGATAAAATATGACCCTATAGCTTTGGCCGCTATTTTAAAGTGGAAAAAAAAAGTGCTGTATGAGACAGGAAGAATATTTCCTTGCCTGTTCTAATTTAAGACATGGGAGGCAATTCTAAAGTGAGAACAAACCATATATACTCATGAAAAATAATGCTTTAAGTTTGGCTTATAATATATAACCCTACGGTCCTAAAAAGTTTTGGTAGCACAGTGGGATTCTATATGTCTAACAATTCATTGTTAAAGGATTCAGGTTTCCAACAGGTCCCCCCTCCCTTTACAGAATAGTTATTCCTATAACTTAAGTATTAGTCATATCGTATCATGGTAGATATATTCTTCTGTAATGCTTTTCCTCAAATTCCCACAGGACCTTCTCACTAACTTTAAAATAATAAACTTACAGTCAAGGAATTTTCGCCATCATCACGTCTCGTACGAGTATGAGCTCTTCCTCTGCCATCAGAGACGCTGAGCAAGTCTCTTCCAAAAGGTTCAGAAAAACTTCTCATCATCTGTCGCATACTTTCTTGGTGTGCATTAAAAGAATCACTGTTGAAAATACGTAGAATCATGTAAAAGTGTTGTAATTCAAGTAATAAGGAGGCAGCTAAACACTACAAAGAATTATTGAGCTAATATGCTTGTTAAAGAGACAAAAGAAGGGTTTAGGAGAATAGAATCATCTCATAAAGACCCAGTATTCATGATTACAAAAAATGTTCTGTTATCTACTATAATTCACTTATGTGTAACAATAAACGTACAACTTTATTTATCCCTTACTGTATAAAGATGAAAAACACAAAGGTAACATATTTTAGGTAGCATAAGCCAATACTAAGGAAAATGGCAAAAAATAACCTGAAAAATAATGCTACCAGGTAACAGGCCGCCTTGGGCAGTCAACATGATAAATTCTAGTGAGGACTAATGAAGAATGTTGGCTTGTTTATTTTTTAACTCTTATTTATGAAATATGAGCATTGAGAACTATAGCTATGTTATGAACACTGAAGTACATTATTTTAATAGATGAAAACAAAGCTATAAATCACCTCTATGAGGCTAACTTTTGTTTCTAAGAACTCTAAATACTAGAAACCACCACATAGTAAAATTATCTTCTAAGTCTTAAGACAGTGCTTCTCGAGCATTTTTAAAATCACCAACCTACTAAATGAGGTTAGAAATGTAGAATCTTGCTCTGCTCCCCGCAACCTCCCAATTGAATTTACTAGTTCTGGGTGTGGTTTGTGGACACGTATCACTAGTGATCTTAATTCAAGTAGTCCCTCCCCAACCTTTGAGGCACCTTCTGTGTTTGTGGTACCTGAATTAATTAGAATCCAAGCCTCTCTTTCTGAGTCTAAGTTTCCACAGCTGTAAAATGAGGATATTGCATATTCCTGTTGTTGACATTAAATCATGTAATCTGAAAGCACAAAGCACAATATCTGACCCATATACTGAATGTCAATTTGCTTTACCTTCTCTTAACTCATATATAAATACCACTCCCTATTATTCTATTATTAAATGTCTCTTATATAAAAAAAGATATATTTTATTTAAAAATATACATATAGCAATAATCACATTCCAGGCCCTATACTATGTGCTCAATGAATATCAGTGCTCCTAATCTTATGTTATCCCATTCACCCCAAGTCCCATTCAAGAAACTAAAATTTTTATTACCCTATCATTACTCTATCACAGTGATTTCTAAACTTCATTTCAGTTGGAAAGTCGCTGACCCGCTCACTGGTCTATGCCTAGAACGGACGGCACGTCACCACTGGAGGTCACGTTACTCTTCCCTGGAGAAGGCCACTGGAGCCCTCCTGCAGTCTGCCCTCACTTCAGACTTCTCCACCTCAGTTTCATCCTCTTTAGGTCACCCTTCCCACTTCTAATGCTAAATTCCGGTCTTCCGAGGTCATCATGAGGAAGATCAAAAATTGTCTTCAATAGTCCTATGCAGAAAGAGCTTTTCCTTTAAATTCTGCAGAGTTTGTATACATAAACCTATCCCAAGGGAGCTCAGATTTATTCATATATTACCTGGAGATTTAAAAACAAACTCCAAATGAAATTGATTAGCAAACTACTTAACTGGATTTGTGTGTATCAAGAGATTTTTTTGTTTTAATTCAGCTTTGTTTAGGTATAATTTACATACAGTGGAATTTATCCATTTTAATTGTATAGTTGGATAAATTTTGAAAAATGTATATATACAGCCTTAACCACAACCACAACCAAGATGTAGAACATTTTCATCACCCCCATGGCATTGGTGGTATAGTGGTGAGTATAGCTGCCTTCCATCACCCCAAAAAGTTTCTTCTTGTCCCTTTGCAGATAATTATCTCTTTCTAATACCAGTTAATGCTAATAGGCTGTCACTATTGTTTTGCCTTTTTCCATATAATGGGAATCATCCATTATGTTGTCTTTTGTGTTTAGCTTAATGCCACTTAGCATAATGCTTCTGTGATTCATCCATTTTGTTCCATTTATCAGTTGTTCATTCATTTTTATTGGCAGGTCCATTGAATATACACGATTATATCACAATATAAGCACCAAACTTTCTAGTTTTGGGCTATTATGAATAAAGCTTCTATGAACATTCATGCACTGGTCTTTATGTCTATAGTTTCATTTCTCCTGAGTAAAATATCTAGGAGTGGGATTGCTGGGTTGTATGGCAAGAGCATGTTTAACTTTATAAAAAATGTGAACTGAGAGTTCCAGTTGTGCTAATTTGCTGACATTTGGTATCGTCAGTCTTTTTCATTTTTAGCCATTTGAGTGGTAGTATAATAATTTCATTGAAGTTTTACTTTGTAGTATTTGCCATTTATATATCTTCTTTGATAAAAAGTCTGTTCAAAAATTTTTTTTTTTTAAAAACCAGGTTGTCTTATTATTGTGGAATTATGAGTTCTTTATTTATTCTAGATATAAGACTTTTATCAGGTATTTTTTTCTCAGTCCGGAACTTGCCTTTTCATTTTCTTAATCCCAATTTATTCAGCCACACATCTATGAATCTTTGTTAGGTCTTCAGTTTCACCAGACTATAACTTTTATGCAGTAGTTTTACTTCTGACTTAGTTTTGTCTTTCATCTTTAATTCTAATTCTTATAACATTTTACATATCTTAATAAGCTGCTTTTGTTTATTTTTAGAATATGAGGAATAAGTAGAACTTAAAAAGTAAAAGGAAGAATTGGAATAGAAAGTCATAAGTGGATAATCTGAGCAGAGTATGATAAAATAGTAAATTGTAGATTATTCTAAAGTACTTTCTAAATTTCCTGTCTGAAAGATAAAAGACTTCAATTTTTATATCTTCTAATATGGGAAATGTATTTGTAGGGTTTTTTTTACAATTTTTTTTATATTATTGAACTTAATATCAGTTAGGAATATTATAAACTTTATTATCTACCCTCTGGTAGACTAATGAACTCACTAACTTACATGTGTGGTAGGCAGAATCTAAGATGGCCCTCAACGATCCCTACTCCCTGGTGTCCATGCCCTCATGTAACCCCCTACCCTTGAGTATTAGCTGGACTTACTGGATTGCTTCTAACAGAATACAACAGAAGTGATGGGGTGCCAATTCCAAAATTAGGTTGCAAAAAGACTGGCTTCTTGGGTGTTCTCTTAGCACGATGGCTGACTGTGAAAAGTGGCTGCCATGCTGTGAGGCAGCCCTGTGAAGAGGCCCACATGAGTGAACTAAGAAGCAGATTTTTGAGATCATCCAACAGCTAAGTGAGAGATCTTGAAAGTATATTTTACAAAAGTCATGCCTTGAGATGACCACAGCTTTGACATATAACTCGATTGTAGCCTCTTAAGAGATCCTGAGTCAGAACCACCCAGCTAAGCTGCTCCTGGATTCCTGACAGACACTATGGCATAAAAATGTTTGTTGTCTTAAGCTGCTAAGTTAAGCAGCAACAGATAACTAATACATGCCACATCCCAAAGAGCAGTGCGTAACATTTAAAACTCCCATCATTCTAAGTCTTCAATTTTGTTGGTTTTATCTAAAGAGTGGGAAGAAAATGAATGCAAATCCATAAAAATAAGTAATTTGCCTGCAGGTTTGTTTCTGCATTATAAGAAAACATTTTACAGATTTTCACCAAATTTTGAGACATTGTTTAGGATGGTATGAATTAAAATATAAGAGTCTATGGCATAAAACAAACCTCAATTGAAGGTGGGGTTCTCAGACAGATAAGTAGTCTCTTACTCTGGAGCAGTTAAAACTGAGGCTAAGAAGCCCATGGAACTGTTATCAGGAGACACAAGTCTCATGTATTCAAATGCTTGGGCCAGAAAAAAACGACTCTGGTTTAAAGGAGCACGTCACACCTTCCCAATCAAGAGTCACTAAGAAAGAAGTTCAAAACTGTAGATGTTAACTGCAAAGCTTCTCTCTGTTAGAGAAGCATACACCAGGTGAATGAGACTTTAAGAATGGTAAATGACTCTCCCAAGAAATGGTGGAGACTATCTTACACAAGGAAAGTTCAAATTCAACAAACATTTATTATGTATACTGTGTGTCAAGCACAGAGATTGATTACTGGTCTGGAGGAATTTATAGTCTGGCACAGAACTCAGACCTGTATGTTTTAAAATTAATATTATAAAACTTGGATACTGTATTAGTTTACTATTGCTTCTGTAACATAATTACTATAAATTCAGTGACTTCAAACAACACAAATTAATTTTCTTACAGTTCTGGAGGTCAGAAGCCCAGAATGGCTGTTTCTAGGCTAGAATCAAAATGTTAGCAGGGCTGTACTCCTTCTGGAGGCTGCAGGGTAGAATCTGTTTCTTTGCCTTTTCTAGCTTCTAAAGCCTGCTGGTGTTCCTTGGCTTGTGGCCCCTTCCTCCATTTTTCAAGCTAAGAGTGGAAATAACAAACGAATGTTGTTTAAAAAAAAAGAAAAAGAAAGTAAAAGCCAGGATTTAGCATTGACAAATCTCTCTCTGACTCTGACCCTCTGTTTCTGTTGTCACATCTTTCTCTATCTCTGTTCTTTCTGCTTCCTTTTATAAGGACCGTAGTGATTACATTGTCCTCCCTCCTCCAACCCAGGATAACTTCCCTGTGTTAGTTTGCTAGGCTGCCATAGACTGGGTGGATTA